CTGGCTCGACAGTTTGCAGGCGTGAGTGGCAAGTGGCGTAGATGTGAATGGTCATGATGGACACTCGTGTGCGGGTCGCACGTCTGATGTTTGCTAACGATGAATCAAGCGCTGTGACAGCTGATCTGACAATCAATCTGTCCTCCTGATCTGCTGTGGCCCTAGGTTGACCGCTACCATCATGATGCTGAAATCTGCTACTCTCCACTGATTCTTGCTAGCATCTTCTAATGGTAGCATCGCTTCGACCCATATGACGAGCGATTCTCCGATTTGCACAACCACTCTCTTTCAGTCCAATGATACGATCTCTTTCAAACTCCGACAGTTGCTCGTAATGAGCTCGAATCCTGCAGCGAGCTATTTTTTCAGTTGTTCAAAGGTATCCTAAATCGTGATGCATTAGAAATTTTCTCCGTCAGATTGAGAATCGCTTCTTATAGACACCTTTTGAGTGCGCAGTTCCGATGCGCGGTAGCTTCCACTATTAATTCTTTGGGCACCAAATTTTAATCATTTGCATGTTCAAAACAAATATCTTTGCATACGAAATTTCATTACAATCGGGCAATTCTTTCTTGGTACGTAGTTTTTTTCTGTTATAGAGTGTAAAATAAAATTCTTCCACACACACAATTTCGGATTCTAGTTATATGCTTTGTTACATGTAATAAAAAAAAGAGCCCTTTTTTGGAACATTTTGAGCAATAAATAAATAAATAAATGACCGCTTAATTAATAAGCAGACAGAAATATCTCTCCAAACACTTTTTTCGTTGACAAATTCTGAGAAAAATAAATATGTTACTCAGAATACAGCTGTCAGGTGATACTTTCACGGGAGGATTTCTTGCCCACTGCAATTTACAAATAAAACCGCATTTCCTAATTTATTTTGTCTTTGCATTCATTGGTTACAAATTGCGAAAAGTTCGTATTCATTAGTAGTGAAAAGCGCCGATTTTTTATTGCAGTTTTTTTTTAAACTAATTATTCTAAGAAAAATTTCTTCATACACGTTTCTTTCCAGTTCCTTTATTTCTAAAATTATGTTGTAATAAGTGATTGTCTTCTGTAAGTTGGTGTAGCTTTAGATTGCGTTCATAATTTTGTGTATCTTAAATTCATTTGGAACATTATGTTTTTCAAATTTCCATCTTTTGATTGAAGGTCTAAAGGTAAGAGTTAATATTTTTGTTCTTTAAATTATTGTATGAAATATGTCTCCTCTCTCTCTCTCTCTATATATATATATAAAATGTGTTAAATCAATCATTCTGATTATAAATGATGCCGTTTTGACTGCTTTAAATTTAAAAATGTTTTTTTGTCGAAATCCAAGTTCTACATGTAAACTTTGATATCTGCTGAATTCAATCTATATTTGATGACTAAACAATATCCCTAAGTTTTCAAGACAATTTTTACCTCATTTAGAATATTTTCAGATTCATGGAATATGAATTTGTAAATATTCTTAGAAGATTTCCGAAGCTATTTAGTTAATCCATATTCGAAATTCATAAAGAAATTAGCAAATCAGACGTATCAAAGATAAATAGAAGTACTACTTCGTATGAAAATCAAAGTGATGTAATATGCTCAAGATATATGTATCTATATCCTCTCAAATCATAAAAGCTATACACAGATTGAAAGACATTTTTTTAAGTAGATTGTTTATTTTCGGATAATTTATGACTTTATTACAAAACTTCTTATAATTTATTAGTTTTATTATTTAATACTAAGAAGTATAAGAAATATCTCATATACTTAAAACATTTTCACTTCTCTGAGGGAGAGGATACAATTGTTATATTATTGTTTCTAATGCCACCTGTCTGAGGGTGTCAGATCGAAATCAACGAAATTCATAGCGGCAAGGGGCTGGATCAACGATGCTCAATCCGTGGGCCGCATCTGGCTCAACGGGCTTTTCTAGTGGCCTGGTATAACGACTGTTGCAAATTCAATTATTTAAGAAGTTATTTAAGAAATTATTAAGAAATTGTATTAAAAATTTAGCGAGAAACTCTGAATCAAGTAATCCCATATATTCATTTTGATTTCGATGTGGTGCTGGTAGGAATTGTGTGATAACTTTTTTTCTTTTTGTAATTTTAACGGTTAGTGTTAACAAATAACAGTAGAATAGCGACTGTTTTATGGGTAAAACTAATTTTTAATTAACCCTCTTGCCTTCCAAGCAAAATATATCTAAAGAATGTTTGTTATTTCAAAACGATTGGGATCGTGACTGTTTCGTAGAAAAAAACAAACATAGATCAACTACTTGTTTAATTTGTCATGAAAATGCTATATGTAAAAAATAAAATTTGTAGACGGCAACACAATATTTTGTGTTTGTGTGGGGGACTTAGGATCACTGTTGAAAGGAAATCAAAATTATTCCATAACAGGATAAAGATATGCATTAACCCTCTTTTTTGTGAGTCGAATTTGGTGGAGTTTAATATAGTTTTAAAACGAAATCCAAAATTATTAATATTTTGATCAATTTCTGCATTTTAAATATTTTTAATCTAATAGCATCCACCCTCTTCCCCTGTAAATCCTCATGTTGCGGCCCTTGTGAAATAGTTGTCACATGTATGCGGCCCGGCTGACAAATAGGTTGAGTACCGCAGGCTAAATGTACGCTTGTCGTTAGCTTTGAGCGACAAGCGTACATGCGACAGTTAGCTTGTCGTATAGGCGACAGTACGATTTGGCTAGTTTCCACCTAATTTTGAAGGAGAAAAACCAGGGGGTGGTCAGGATGAAATAGGGGAAGCAGAACTGTTGAGGTCGCTGTTAAAGCCGAAACACTTTGGTGGATGGCTGCGTTAGAACGACATTGGGATGCTCGTTCATGTGAATTCTTGATAGGTCACTGCAGGTCTGAGAGTCCAAGCAAATCTGGAAGTCAATTGGACTGAGAGAGAGAGTCCGTTGGAGTGAGCTGGGGCGTCGTAGAGTGTTGAAGCCTGTAGAAGTGTCTCTCTAGCGTTTGTAAAGCTTCTTAGCGTATCGAGGGTAGAATGGTCATCGGGGCACTTGATCTCAGATGAGGTTTTCATTCTCTATCTGAGACTGTTGTTGAACATTGATGATATTCCTTGCCATGATTAATTGAGTGGTTAGAAAAATAATTAAATTAATTTAATAAATTAAAAGTTAAAATTAACAGTTACTAATTACGACCTTTAGAATTAAAAAAATAAATAATTAAAATTGCTGGAGCTGATTTTTGTGTGCTTTGAAATGGGAGAAACAGTGTATCTGTGTTGACTGAGGCTAACTTCGTTGTCGGAGGCTAGCGACCGTCCAACTTAGTCATTGGATGTCGGGTCAATTCGCTCAGCAGACGAGAGAAACCCAGCATCTTGTCCGTTGACTTCCGACAGTGAAAAAACCGCCAAAACGGTTGGGTGTTATACTGCTTACGAGGAAAAGAGCTCTTGCCCAATTAGGTAGCTGCGTTTCGTTAGGAGGGTGTGTCCTGGGAGTTAATAGAGTATCTGAGTTTGGAAAAATTTTGGGGTCGGGAGAAGACGAGAACTCCTCGCCCTATTATAGCATATCGAAAATCTCTGGGTTTCCCCGTTTGGTGTCTATTTAAAGGAGGAATACGTCCTGCCTACAAAAGTGACACATGAGGTAGAATCATTTCTGTTTGAACGTAGCTGGGATTACTATTCGGCTATTGATTCTAATCAGACCTTACACGGTGGACTTTGAAGCCGGTGATTGGCGTGGGAACTACCCCGGTCACATCTGTGTCGGTTGGATCAAGGGAGGTCAAGGGTTGACCTGCCTTAGACCATAAGTGTCGGTGTGTTCGATCTAGGATACTTTTTCACGCGAAACTCCATGACCGTTGAGACGTCACTAGTTCCCTGACAGGAAATGGGTACTTAGGTGGAGACCACCACATGTATATTAGAGGAATCTGCTGGGTATATGATTCTTCAAAGCGTAAGCATTGTAAGTTATTTCGCAGTTAGCATTTTTCAGTATGAATACACATGAATATATTGTAAATGGAAATATCAAACATAAAATTTATTAAATTTTAATACTGACGAGAATATCCCTATCTGTCCGATGACTTAGAAAGAAACAGCTGCTTGAAATTATCCTTGAATTAATGCTAGAAATTTGACTTTGAGTTAGTTTATGCAATCTTTAACATATGGAGATCTTTGTGTAAGAAAAAAGTCAATATGATTTCATGTGTTTATATCATATAACTGACAAGGAATTTAATGTCAGCACCACACACCTTGGATTGTATTCTTTTATTTTACTCAGCGAAAAGTGTATTTCATTTCATTGCGATATGAGGTTTTTGGTGAGGAAATAACCGACGTCCATTTCTCGGAAATATAATTGGCCTTTTACTCACATTGAACCACTCAGTTTACTCATATTGAACGAATTTTTCTCCTCCTATTTAAGAGAAAAGGTACCTTATTTTTGGAAATGGACTGCAAACTGTATTTTGCTGAAGTGTCTTTGCATTGTTCATTCGTTTGCTACAATAGCTAGTTTTCATTCACACCTTTAATTAATATATATTTTTTTTATATCAAAGGAATCCAGCACACTGTTTTTAAGTCCAAATGCTAGAACATTTGGTCTTATTTCACTCAAATGATCACATGGCAATGAAACCGTCTTTAAATTTTAGTACCTAACAAGTAATATAAAGAAAAATTAAGTCAATTCCTACTTAGGTCAACAAGGAAAAATTTAATTTATTTACTTTTTATTAAATAGTTACAATTAATATAAATATGTTTATATATATATCAGAATTACAATATTAAGTGACAAAATGGAAAGCGATTTTCCTTGCAATTTTCGATTTTCCTTTCTTCATAGAGTGCTGGGCTATTTTTTTTTTTTGTTTGTTTGTTTAAATTTATTCATAAATTGCATTTAATTATTCCAATATTATAGTATAGAAGAAAAAGAAATCACATTCTCAGAAATGGAATTCGGGGGTATTCGAAACCACGACCTTCGGATTAGAAGTCCAATGCGTTATCCCTTTGCGCTACAGAGACACAACGAACGATTTTCTTTTTTATAAAATCTGTTGGACTATTATTTTTGTTTGTTACAATTTATTCATTTTTAATTTAATTAATGAATTAATATTTACACAACAAATTAAAAATATATATATTTGGACTTGAATGGATGAATAGAAAGTATTTTATTAACGATTGAAAATTTGAACAATATATATATATATATATATATATACAAGGAGAGAGTGAACTAATAGTAGGGATTGAGAAAGGAACAGTTTCTGAATGCATTTCACTTAATGAATAACTTAGAGAATTAGAGAAAAAAAACATTATGTATTAGAAAATTTTTTCAGAATTTCAAAGCCTACCCATGTGGAAAATACGTTCCACGTTATATAAATGAAAAAAAAATATAATGATCAGTTTAATGATATATTGTTAAGTATAATGGGTGTAAAGGACACTTACTGAATTGTTACAAGATAAAAACATCAGGCATACTTAACAGCTTCTTTAGAATTAATTTTATAAAACAACCAACTGTGTCGAAATTACAGTGCGTGATAAAGTGGAAAATGAATAATGGTTAGATCGGACTGATGCGAGAGATCTGGGTCATGAAATATTGCTATGTGCATCATACTACCGGTTGATTCAAAATTAGTGTGACCAATTTTAAAAGCCTATAACTATTTATCGTGAATTTCTACAGTTTTACTACTGGTTTTATTTAGAAAGGAAAATTTTAAGTTACTAATCTAACCATTTTTGTTAGTGGGAGTAAATTATAGTATCTAAATTGGATAAAGCAGAACAAAATTTAAAGCTTTTGAGAAGGATGGTTATTGAAATTGTTATAAATATAAAGCATTTAAAAATTGAAAAAGAAATTTTTCTATCATATTACTATCTAAACTTCGAAACGAAATAAAATTTAGCTCGCAATCAAAAGCTCCAGGAAAAAAATGCATACGAAAGGAAGTCTAAAGGAAAACGAAAGGAAGGTATTGCAATCGACAATTTGTCGTCAGTTAATTGGCTATAAAAAGGTGTATAAAAAATCTATCGTCAAATGTCTGAAAAGACCCCAGAAAAATGATGAAAACGCTCTTGGCCTCTGTATTTATGTCACCCAAGGTCGATACAAAACATGGATAATTTCGGAGAGAGAAGCCTGTTTCATCTGTCATCCACAACTATCGAAATGAAGATGCAGCATATTTCACGCGAAAAGGGTGTCCTTGGGCTATTCAGAAAAAGGCAAGTTAGCTGTCAGGTGTTACGGTAAGGATGGAAATGTCCTCTCAAGGCTTAACAAAATTATTTTTGTGAAATTATAAGGCTCAAATGATGCTACATACTATCAGCAGAAAGGTTTTGCGACACATGACCAAGAAAGTAAACGTCTTTACCTTCGAGAAAAGTTTTTTTACCAGATTCTGCACCAAGTCATACTGCAAAATCAACTATACAACTATTCTTCAAAAATAAAAAAGTAATGAATTTTCTTCGTTATAGAAATAGCTACCATCACTCCAGCTGTTCTTCTTGTGAATATTTTTTATGGAATAGTTAAAAAGTAATTAAATAAGATGTAAAATAAAGAACACTTCAAGGGTTCCAAAAAGGCATTAAAGAGGGAAGTTTGAAATTCCCCTAAAATGTTTCAGCAAACTCTTTTTTGGTTTTAATAAGCAACTTGCCAAGTGTGCTATGTTAAAATGAAGCCACACACTGAAAATTTCAAATTATATAACTTTATTCAATAAAATCTATGATGCTCTGAAAATGATACATTATTTTGAATCAAGCGGTATTCACTAATTAGTCCTCTTATGAATAATCATCGCTTTTTGGTAACTTATAAGGATTGAAAACTTTAATTGCAGTCTAAAATCGTCTAACAAAACCTGCATGATGGGTGGGTTTTAATTCAATTTTTTACTGTGAAACATTCAACTCCTTTACATGGCACTATTGTTTTATTAGTTTCTTTCTAATTTTCATCATACTTTTCTGCATAATAGGTAGGTTACTTTTCTTCTTTATAAAACCAGCAGCTTTTTGCAGGTCCAAGTTTGACTCGCTGGTCCTCCCCAGTTGACCCTATCAGTTACGACGGCCTTCCATCGGTTGATTAATATTAGTTGGGGTCCTTTCCAGCATGCTCTGCCATGGTGTAGGTGGTAGTCCTCTACATCTGGTCCCTACAATTTTTGAAAAAGGATTACTTTTTTGGTAGTAACATATTATATTTATCAACCACTTAATACATGATACTTTTTATAGTTCTCACAATGTCAGTCCATATATTTGCGAAGTATGTTTTTAAATTTCATGATTGTAAGAATTCTCTATCATAGTTCTCTCGAACTAGATCCAAAGATTTTCCTTTCTTTTCAAAAATGAGCAACGCTGTTCTTCCTCTGCTTTATTGGGGTCAACATTCACTTCCATAAAGAGCAATAGGCCTGATTAAAATTTTATATATGCTCAATTTGGTGATAGAAATATTGGAATTTGGGGTGGTTTCAAGGCCATGAAAAACTTCTATTAGCTAAACAGGACTATTTTGTTTATTTCGGTTCAGATCATCCTTCCTATGAGATAAAAAGTTCCTAAGTAAGTAAACTGTTTTGCAGTCTCAAAAGAAAGTATAGTTTCTTATCTTCAAAGAGACAAATACGGAGATTTATTAGTGGAAATCAAAGACTTTGCGATTAATGATAATTTTTTTCCTTCCATAACCACGATTATCTGCTCCCCCCTCATTGCTTATGCAATGTAACAAATTACTTGTTTGAGTATTGATTTAGAATAGTTCGTCAAATCAGCAGAAATGGAGAACAAAGATAATTTGTAGAGATCATTTCATGTATACTTTACGATGATGAAATATTACTCAAATATGACACAAGTTTTGCCATTGTATTGACTTATAGAACTTTGCATGATTTTGTAATCGCATATGATGGTGCATCCCTTGAATTTTTATGTTTAAAAATAAGCTCCGCTCGCAGTCGAATTTAAAGAGTTTGGAAAATCAAAGTATTTACTTTTGGTGGTATTTACGTATTTAATTATTTTCTTAAAATTGATAAAACATTTCTAAGAAAGATTGGTCTCTCTCTTTGTAGTTTTAATTCACTTCTGACTAAAATTTATTTTTGTTATAGTTAAAAAGGAAAAGAATAAACATGGAACTGGTCACTATATTTCCTGATTTTTCTTTGGAACTCCTTTCGTGTGTATGACGTGATAATCCGGTAAAGTATGTGTGCAACATTATTCAGCAGAAACTCTACAAATTACGGCGTGCTGATGATAATTAACAGGATACATTTTAGATGTAATATTTTTATGTAACATATGTGATTGTCAAAGAGAGAGTTCATGAGGAGAACTGCTTTTGTTAACTTGTTTTATATTTTTTATTTACATCAATGATTTTTAACATATCATATCAGTATATATTTTGTTCCGATTGAAAAACGCGACGTGCTTAGCAACCATAAATCGATTTTCATTTTTATCCCAAGAAAGGTAAATTTAATGCTGACAAACTTCAAAATGTACTATACTTCTATTTGCAAGGTTTAAAGCTATAATAGATGGTACGGTTTAAAATGTAAACATGGCTATTTCGGTTAAAAATTCTTGTACCCAAAAGAAGAGTACATCCCTAAATTTGCTCCAGGGGCCATTTCTGGTTAAATTAAAGTAATTACCAGAGCATATACGCAATTTGCCGACATATATTTGGAAATTAGCTTCAAAGTGTAAAATATTTTATGATGTTACCCAAATTAAATAGAAAGCCAAGGTATCCGACTACGTTCCGGAACCAAAGTGATTTTACAAACACTTGTATAAATAGGATAATATTTATGACATTTAGTGTCACTTAGATGAAAATGTATATAAAATTATTTTTAAGAATAGTATTACAATAAAAATTATTTAATTTAATGTGTGACAAAAAAATGAACATAGAACGACCAATTTCAAAATGTTCTTTTTTTTTTGGCAGAAAAATGTTTCTATTATATTTTTCATGTATATAACAGAACTCTGTACCCAGAACAACTAGAATTTTTGAAATATGTAACTTAGAAATTAGGTTTTATCTATGTTTTATGACAACAGGAGAATTTAACGCCGATAATTATTTCAAATGGTTGTAACTCTAAAATAGTAGTGGTGCAAAACCCATAGTTGGCCTCTGTACGAAGTCTGAGCTATATATACAAAGGAAAAACTAATATTCCAATAGAAGCAATTTTCACAAAAAGGAAGGAAACATTTTGAGAAAAGGTTATTCTAAAGTTAATTTTGCCGAAATAATGAATTTAAATAAATTTTTTTGTCAAAACTATCCCTTCGACGGTTTTATACATGTATTTATAATCTAAGTGACACTAAATATCATAAGAAAACTATCCATTTATGTGTCTTTAAAATCACGATTCCGGGTACCTTTCGTCAATCTAAATTTTCATTCTGATTCGGAACCGTGATTTTTGCAAAAAGCATGCTCAATGGATACAATATTTATGATATTTAGTGTCCCTTAAATAAGAAAATGTATATAAAATTGTCTTAAGAATAAGTATTACAATAAAATTATTTAAATTGCAATAGTTTGACAAAAAAGGCCAGACATAGAATGACTGATTTTCAAGAATATTTACTCTTGTGAAAAATGCTTCTATTAAAATAATATTTTGCCTATGTATGGAATCAATTTCTCTGTACAGAGGTTCAAAATAAAATTTTTGAAATATATACTTAGAAGTGGGTTTATCCATGTTTTTACGACAACAGGGTAGAAGTTTTAAGAAAATAAGGCCGATAAATTTATTTTTAATTGGTTGTACAACTACCATGTGTTATGAATTTTCAACAAAATAAATAGTCCCTCTCTGGAGAGTCATTACTTTATATAAACAACATTATTATTATTGTGTAGCATTTTTTTACTAAAGGAAAAGAGGCATTTTGAAAAGGTTATTCTAAGTTAATGT